TGGCAGCTGGTGCTTGCAAGGTGCTATAAAAAAACACACGCACGCACGCACGCACGCACACACACACACACACACACACACACACACACCTGACAGGCCACAGCAGTATTTTATAAGTGGTCCCTTTCGGCTGCCTTTATTCAAAGTTTTATGAGAAAGGAAATGCATTAAACAAAATGTTTCTCTGGGAAAACACTGACTGTCAACTTTGTTAACTCCACAGGGTATCTATAAATGTTGCATTTTCTTGTTGACATCTTTCAGAGATGTATTGGTTCAACTCTGTGGTCATTGTTTGGCTGTATTTTGTGTTGTCGCTTGTATCAGTACAACATTGCACACTGCTTGTTTGCAATAAACACTTTTGTAATTTCTACAACATTTATTTATAATTTGTTGACGTTACCGGTTCCTACTCTTATTTATTCCCTCTTTAGAAAATACAACTACTTTCTCTTTTACAATGTGTATTATGTCTGTTGAATTAGTTGTTAGTATGTAAGTCTACTCTTCCTCCTTTTGCCTTTTATTTTGCACTTTTGCTTCTACAGTATAACACTGTTAATTTCCCTGCTTCGGGGCAAACCTTCTGATTCTGAGTGCAGGATCACATTACTTTGTCAGATCTGTGTAGTGTCTGTTAGTTTGCACACAGACATAATGTCACTTTCAGTCTCATATAAACTATAGTGACTCTAAACACATCGTAAAGGCTTCTAGAAATAATACCGGCTGCACCCTGGCCAGTGTGTGAGTGAGTGCCTGTGTGTACATGCATACACACAAACAAGCAAGTCCCGTTCAGTTGCGTCCGGGCCCATGAGCTGACGGAGAGGACCTGGCAGGGGTCTTATCTCGCTCACATTGCCGTGTGACTCACAGCCTCACCAGGCAGCAGCACAGTCATTAGGGGCGAGAAGACCTTTCATATCTCGGCCGGCCCCTCAGTTCTCCTCAGGGCCGGCCAACAAGGACCAACTCTCTCTCTCTCACCTCTCCTGCTGTCAGCTAGGCTTTTTGTCTGCGTCCCTCTATTCTCCATTGTGTTCCTGTCTGGCACTGTCTCACACAGATTTAATGTCAGGTGTTCTCTCACTGTGTTAAATAAGTCATTTTTTTCTCTGCCTGGAGGGGACAGGTCCCATGTTTCCCCTGCCAACCATCAGCACTTCACACACACACACACACACACACTGACTTTGTATGTGTGTTGGAGATATAAAGGGTATTCAGGCGTGGGCTGCTGGTGGCTGTTGGGACGTTTCACCCCATTCACTTTCTCATCGGATCATTTTCCCAACGCCCACCTGCATTTTCTGAGGGCACAAACCGCATTCCTAACCCATCACGGTGGAACAAGAGGTGGATAGGTAGGAGGGGCTCTGTTCCTCTGATCAATGTGTGTGTGTTAGATGAGCAGGGACAATGACACAATATCTGTCAGAGCCCTCCTCCTCGTGAGGCTGAGCAAGCAGGCATGACAGTGAGATGACTGGCACAATGAAAGCAGAGCTGCAGGCAGGACGGTAGGACGTGTGCCAGAATAATGAGAAAGAGGAACAGCGCCAGACAAACAATCCGAGTAACTGGACAAGATTTCAACATATTTCACTATCAATGTGGCATTCAATATAATAAGTGTGACTTTCTACTGTGCGTATCTTGGCATATTATCTGTAGTTCCTTAAGGGGCATTTCAGAAATGTCAGCCCTTTAAAAAAAGATGCTGATTCAATCACTACTCTGAGAAACAAGTCAGAAAATGCCTACAGTAACAGTGTTAAATAACAAATTAAATGCTAAAGTAACCTAAAAAAAACAACACGTGAGGAGCTTTCTAATGGTATTTTAAAGTCTGTGTTTCAGCCAGATTATTGTACTATTAATACTTGATATGACGTTGGCCCATTTAACAATAAGAATGATAGGGCCTCTTTAAAGTGATGTTTTGTCATCATTCATGATAAGGCTTTTTAAAGCTATACTTCATAGAATTACATTTCCAATGGATCACACTACTACTTGTATATAAAGGGATGGGTAGAGGTGAACAAATACCAGTTATACATAACACTCAACTACACATCTGTAACGAGTCTTCTTGACGTTTTTCAGCTCATTATTTTCATTTTACGGCTTAAACCTTTAGTGTTTTGGTTCAGTCTCACTGCTCTCATCATCATGCAGCTGCTTTGATAAACACACTCTATCTACCTGCCAAGCAGAGTTAGTGGCTCTCTGTTGAACTTTGTGAAGCATTTTGCAGCTTAAGCGCCAGATATTTCCCTCAGGAGTTGGTGGAGACCAAACACAGAGCTAAAAGATTATTGTTCTTAAATGTGCCTGATGGCCATAAACCCAACTCTAAATAAATACCCTGCGTTGTTCTATGTGTAGATTAGCAGCTCTTTGCTATGACGTTGGCCATATCAACTGTATTACATGTAAGTGTCAATGTTGTGTTAACAGGCTGTTGAACTCCCCCAATGAAAGATAGAGAATGTGGAGAATCAGTCACTCTGTCTCACCTCATGCTTGCCCTTCATCCTGCAGATCCTGATGTCATTCTTGTTCGACTCCCACGTCCTTTTCTGTACATAAAAAAGCACACATACACACATTCATGCGTGATTACACGTTTGCTTTTCTATATAGTAGAAGATGACATTTTCCTGTGATTATTAAATTATACCTAATTTAAATGAATACATGCTACAGAGTCTGTCCTAAAGGTTCTCACCTTGCTGTAGAACATCTCGTCTCCTGCAACGATGTCCAACTCCACACGGAAAAGGTCATCCCTGCAGAGAGAGAGAGAGAGATTGGGAGTCAGCCAACGCAGCACGATACGAAGCTTAAAGGTGACCTATCATGCACTGCACTTTTGTACGTCTTTTATACATGAAGATGTGTCCCCGGTGTTCCAGGGAACTCACCAAGAGTCAGAAAACACAACCCTCTCTATTTTCCTCCATACCCAAATCTCTTAAAAAGGGGCTGCAACGGATCTGATGCAGACTGATCCAGATTTGAACACTTCTGTGACGTCACAGAAGTGGCGCTACGGCTAATGGGCCAACTCCACCAATCAGGAGGAGACAGCCACGGACATTGCCGTTCGAAAGCGCTGGAGACGCTGTAGTACATATGCCAGGCCTGTAGATGGTGCTGTTCTCACAGAATCAGCCCATGCAAAGACAGTGTTAAATTGAGCGAAATGAGGAATGGCTAAAATGCATGATCTGTTTGCTATTTTGAAAAATGAAAAGTATAAATATGCCTTATATAGGTATGGTCCTACACTATATAGTATTATTAAAATATAGCATGATAGGTCCACTTTAAGGTAAGGCACTTAGAAAAACTATGAAAACCAGTTCCACAGTACAGCATGGATATTATTTCTAGCTCAGAACAGTGCAAGTTGATGCATATTTTCTCTGGATGAAATCCAAGCCACACACTTAATACAAACTCTGAGTATGAATATTTCCACTATATATTACATCAGTGTGGTTATACAACTAAATAATTCTGTGTGCAGCTATGTAATGCATATATATATCAGAGACCTTTATTACTTTAAGTTGATCAGACCCTCAGAGATTAGGAAACAGCTTTATAATGTCTTTAATTTCTCCCAATATATATGAGGAATGGTAACCGAGTCCGACTGCATAATGTTCCAAATCTCCCCTTTGCCTTTTGCTTCTTCTCATTAAACTCTACGTGCTGCATTAAAATGGCCCCCGAATTCTGCTTATCAGTCTTATTCAAAAGCCTGAAATTGAATTAATGGATGATTTAATGAAGTTGTTAGAGTGCTGCTTGCACACCCCCACATGCTGCCTACACGTGGTCCTAAACCAAACACTATCTATTAATGATATTCTAAACCCTGCTTTCTCTCATGGTGGGTGCCTAATTGTAATATAGCTTGTATGTACAAAGTCATACATTTTCCCCTTTTGAATGATGAATACAGATACAGCTACCAGCTAGAAAGGAGTGTGTTGACCCTCATGAAGGTGCATAGCGTACGTTGGCTGTGTGGTGTGTTCAACTGCGTCTTTCTGGCCATGACACATTGGACGTGAGGCAAAGCAACAGTCGCAGCTTTTTATTTTTGATGTTGGCTTGGTGTGTGCACCTTTAATCTGCTGATGATTTCTCAGTAACCTTGGATGTTCCTGTGAAAATGCCAGCTAAATGAGAGTTGGGCTTGGCAGCTCTAGTAGCAGCTGACGCATGCATATTGATCAAGGCCTCCGTATCTGCGGGGATGAATCTAAAGCTTGGAGATCATCTAAGCAAAAGGCCGGGGCTCTGCTAATCTGTAAATCTGCCATAGCCGTGTTATTGATGCAGTATCGATCCCACCTCTGAACAAGCTCTGCCTCCCAGTACTGCATGTTCTCTTGGTTTCTCCTTTTCCTTTGATAGCAGAGGTTATCATGTATGCATCCATGTACAGGTGCCTGCTCATGTGAGTAATCGTACCACCTCGGTGTGTGTATCAATGTGTGTTTGCATCTGTTTCTCTAAGAGAAATAAAGCGGTGAGAATGCGTACATAATGAGAGCGCAGGTAAGCCATCAAGGTTACTCCAATCCTAAATAATTCATCCTCACTTCCTGCTGGCGTTTTAGTAAGATTCCCACTCTTACCCAACCTCGCAGAATGGGACAATGGCTAAGTAGCTAAGAAGTGCAAAATCACCAAACACTAGCTCAGTGCTTCTCTGCTTAACAGGTCAGAGTTCAAGCGTTCTCCAAACAGTGGAGTGGGCCAGAGTGTGAGGCGTAATCTCATCCAGGCTGCTTCAGCATTGTCTCAGCATTAACATAATGAATATAGCAACAGGCCTCGTAGTCAGAGTGGCTGGCAGCCAGCGCTGTTGCCTCTGATGGTGCAGAGGAGGGGGAATTATTTATGGAGCAGCCTCTCTCTCCATCCCTGATCCTGCCCTCCAGGTTGTTTGAATGATGCAAAGCCTGTATGTTTTTAGTTTGTTTGTATGTATGTGTGTCAGTGGATTTCATGTTTACTGCATGTAGTAGAAGGTTAGGAATCAGGACTAAGATGTGAACTGTGTAAAGATTTCATTTTTCTTTATGTGGCATGAGCCTTGAATAGCCATGATTCATTAGGTCAAACAAAGTGCCTCAACTCACAACCAACCATAAAACCTACAAATCAAGTCTCAGATTTCTTACTCTTTGTCTGGGTGTAGGCGTGTGTGTAGGATGTGCACGTGCCTGAGCTGTTATTTCATATATACGCCTCCGACCCTTTTTGACCCGGCTGATACAAAGTCAACACAGAGTCTGAAGAGAAACTGTCAACATTTCCTACATTTCTGATTTGACCAGCTCATGAACTTTCTCCATGCAGCATTCCAAACAACGCCAGCCTCAAGGTCAAGACATCTTAATCCACCCGGCTTTGCAGTATTTCTTTTTGGTTTAACTTCTCTTCTTCGTGGTACTAGCTATATTGTGGTTTAGCGTGAGCAGCAATGAGCCTGTCTGAGCCTTTTAATAGCGTTTAGGCAGAGCTGATCCACTGGATGACATTAAAATGGAAGGATTTGAGCTGACCACATAGTTACCCTGACACTTCTGCTGACTGAGGGGGAGGACAGTTTGATTTTGCATGCATTTGGGTGACAGTAAATATATGCATGAGTTAGTGGATCACATACTAAATTCTAAAAAGTCAAACGGTAGTGCTCCCAAAACTTCAAAAGGAGCAAAAGCAATCTTGCACACCGTACTACGTTCTTACTTAGAGCAAAGTTTTGGTCAAAGATGTTCATCAGACATTAAAGTCATTAAGCATCATCGTCATAAACGTGACCCTTAAGGTGGGGTAGGTAAGTTTGAGAAACCGGCTCCAGATACACTTTTTGTTATATTCCATGGAATGCTCTTAACATCCCGATAGCAATGAATATCTGAATTGCTTTGACAAAAGATCCATAAAAAAAATTCCTATGTGGAAGCCTTAGTGCTGTAAAAAGAACCACCAATCATCTGAGCCGGCCCGGCTAAAGTAACTGGAGGGCCTACCTGCCTGTCAGCCTTCCATCTGTGCACACACTTATCTCGTGCCCTCATTGGTCATGTGCGCGTTCGTGTGTGTTGGAGGAGGGGCTCTGTAAGGAAGTCTGAAGGAAGGGGAGGAGGGGCTCTGTAAAGAAGTGGCAGATTTTTTTCCGGCTGTGTATTTTTCTAATTCTGGCGCACTCGAGCTGGTTTCTCCAAAATTACCTACCCCACCTTTAAGGCTGCAGCAAACGCCAAACAACTAGTTAAATCCCACTACAGGACTTAATACCTAATACATCTAGACAAGAAATATTTTTTTAAATCCATAAAAACAATCCTAACACTACACAAATATTCATTTACTTAAAAAGGAAAGTATAAGTGAAATAATAATAAATAAGTATACTCATGTATGCAGCGATTGCAGTGCATAATAGATTTTTCCAGCATTTATTAAATGGTTAATTGCCTGAACTGATAAATTGACAAGTTGACTTCTCATTGCATCTGATAGGAATCTTTCTTTAAGTGTGATCTTTTTTTTTAAGTAAATAAAACCCATCTTTTGAAATCCACCTGTCACTCCTTTTGCCAGTCACACTGACTTATCAAAGGAAAAATGCTTTACAGGCTCCCACACCTTCTTAAACTTCATATTCAAGGACTTTTCAAGGATTTTCATGGCCCATTGCCCCACATTGAAGGACCCACACAGCATAGATTGAGACAATGATAACGGTTAATTACTGTTACAACACTGATAATGAGATCAAGAAGCCTTCACAGGAGCTCACAGACAACCATTAAGAAGAGAGAGAGTCCTCTGTGTGTCACAGCGAGAGCAGAGGGTGTGCTCCTCTGCTCTCTCTATCACAGAACAGAGACTTATTAACGAGATGAAAGGCTAAATAAATACAAGTTATATTTCTATTAATGTACAAAATATATAAATTAAAGCATGTTCAATGACGTGTGTCCATTTATTTTTAGTTTAAAAACTGGAACTGTAGGATCCGTGTCCCATGATTAATCAAGATAATTAGTATTAATCATTGTTTTTTGTCCTAGTTCATTTTTCAATATCTTAACCTGCAGATTAACCAAAAGTTATATTTCAATTAACATACAACTGCAAGTCATTGGAATTAACTTGTTTACACTAAAGGCCAAACAGAATACTATGACGATTAGTCCAGAGGGAACACCTTCTAGTTAGTGGTGTATTGTGCTTAAGTGCACTAACAGGTAATTAACTATTAGTATTTTTGATGTAATGCTACTTTATACTTCTACTCCCCAATATTTTGAGAAGCCATTAGTGTACTTTTTTTTACAGATTCAGATTATCTAATATACAATATAAATCAAATAAATAAACAAATTGACAAATAATCAAAGCTAAAACATCCAGCAGCACACTGTAAAAATAAATAGGGTGTTTTAACTTATAAGTCCAAGGGCTGCCTCATATATATGAGTTGACTTAAAGTAAAAATGTACTTTGTTTCAACTCACAATGTTAAGTTATACAAGTTATTTTACTAATGATCATTCATTGTTATAACTTAATACTTTGAGTTAAAGAAACTTACAATTTACAATAGAATATAAAGTAATTAGAATTAGCTCCACAGCTGTGAACATATTAATGCTAGAATAAGCATAATCCAGTAATTGGTTTTATATAAATGATTCTGAAATGGGCGATTACTTGTGCGTTTTTACTTAAGTATATTATAATCCCAGTACTTTTGTACTTCTCTTTAAGTAAGATTTTGAATGCAGGACTCTAACCTTGAACAGTTTCCTTTACAATTCACATTTTAATCAGAGTGCTCTTCCACTTCTGATTACAGAACTAGTGTATTGTGTGGGAAAAGTCTGTGGTGTGTCCATGTGAGTGTTTCTGTCTCTCCCTTTCCTACATGCTGGACTCTCTCTAGCTGCGGCTCTACAGCTGTCTGCGTTACCTCCCAGGACACCAAGTCTTTGCAACAAGTGAGCGTCTCCCTGTTTGTCTGCCATGAGGCATTTGACCCGGCCATGACCCCTCCACCGTGTCCTCTGAGGTCAGCGTCTGCGGGCCAATAAACCGAGCCACCACCAGCCTGGCAGTAAGTCAACACACTTTCCCTTTCCAAGAAATGCAAAACGTAAACAAACGTGTGCGGAGCCAGATGGCAAAAAACCCCGTACTATTTATCTCAATTGGAACAGTTAATCAAGAATTGGCTTCCTTCCTTTGTTCATCTTGCCGATAGATAAACACACACGACAATTGGTTTATATTTTGTATTTGCCCTGGATCCGGCGGAAGACCACAGGATCCACAGCTGCTCATCTGGACAGCAATGAAATGGGGCTTAACACAGCGAGGCGCTTTACTCCAACAGCCACCAGCCAAATACATGGTTTACTTTCATTTAGTGGGGATGGGGAGAGGACAGGGAGAGGTGGCTGCTCTCTGCAGGTGCTCCAAGCAGGGATTTAGCAGTGCTTGCAGTCTGAAGAGCAGCCATGCTAATAGTGAGAGGAATTGGGGATGAGTGAGGCGTCTTATCAAGCCGTGCACTCTGTAGGAGCTGCTGGCAGCCATACCTACCTCCACACAGGTTCTTATTTAGAAATTATACTTGTTATGCCTCCCTACTGGGTTGTCTTTGGCTCACACAAACATTTACAGACAGATCTGGATTTTTTTCTTGGCTGATCCTTTTCTATCAGGAAGCCGCAAACACTATTAGCCACTTAGAAGAAATGTATAAATATACTAGTGAAACGCTCTTTCTGTGAATCTCTCTTCCAAAAGTAAACCCCCCTCGCCTCGCTCTCTTTCCGCCTGTCAGACGAGCGTTTCATTATCATTCGGTTGGCTGAGACATTCATATCAGTTTACCTCTGCTAGTCAGTAAAAAGCTCTGCAGCTGTAAATTGAAATTAACGTCACTCAGACGGCTTCATAGCTCTTGTTATATTTTAAGGCAGACTGCAGTAGCTGTAGCTGTCTGTGTGGAGTTTAACTATCTGACTGAGTGCATGTGTGTGCTGAGCGCAGACAGAATGGCTGGAACCTTGTTACATACTTTGATATATTTATTACCAACGCTCAGTAGTGAGGTTAGAGCAGCTGGAGGCCAGGGACCGGGTCATTTCCTGGACCACAGTGGCGTCTCTTATTGAAAACCACTTCAGTCTTCTTTCAGGCTGCCCCTACAGCAAATAACCAGCGCCATATGTGGAGACTCACTATGTCTCTTTTTTATAGCATGTTTCAAGCAACATTTAATTTTAGGACAACATGGGTAATAAATCTTGAGGTGTATGTTTTCTGTTAGTTCTGTCTGTTTCAGTCGGGCTCCTGAATGGCCCCGGGGGCAGCAGATGTAGCTTTACAGTGTAAACCCGGTGCAGCTGAGCCTCGTCTGGCCCTCCTGACCAGAGCTTCTGTCCAGGATCAGCACATTCACCACACTGACAACAGATGGGGACCAGCTTCATAGGGAGACCAAACTAGAAAACATATGTTGAGCCAAACATAAGCTAATGGGACAGATTTGTTATAAAAAAGATTTAAGTGGCACATTAATTTTACAGAGCAATTAAAAGAGATTATAGAACTTTTGATAAGGGTGTTACAACTTTCTGAAAGTGGCTTTACTGGAATAAGAACTGATTGAGTTTTAATGTTTAAATAATGCAAGGTTTATTAAAGGGTCGTTATTATGCAGTTTTTGAGCCTGAAAATTATGCTAAAATCCTAAAAGTTCACGTCAGACAGAGTTTACCTTGGAGTGACCTTCACTAGCGCTTTTAAATTCGACAAGCAGGTCAGCTCCATAGTCAAAACCTGCTTTTTTAAAATAAGACTATTGGCCAAGACCAAGTCGTTTTTATCTTTTAAAGACCTAGAAAGGGTTATTCATGCCTTTGTTACCTCAAGACTGGATTACTGCAACGCTCTGTATGTAGGTATGGACCAGGCCTCAATGAAACGCCTGCAGCTGGTCCAGAACGCAGCTGCACGTCTTCTGATTGGCCACAAAAAGCGTGACCACATCACCCCAATTCTGGTCTCACTACAATGGCTTCCAATTCGGTTCCGATCGATTTTAAACTCCTTTTATTTTTTTTCAAAGCCCTAAATGGGCTGGCTCCGGCCTGCATCGCTACACTCCAGCCAGAGCTTTAAGGTCTGCTGACCAGCTGTTGCTGATAGTGCCCAAGACCAGGCTCAAAACCCGAGCGGAGTATGACACCTGACTATTCCCTGTGTTTTTGTTTTTTATATTTCTGTTGTAAATGATTGTCTTTTATTGTGATTGTAGTAAAGTGTTTTTATTACATGTACAGCACTTTGGCTCGACCACAAATCGTTTTTAAATGCTATATATATAAAACTTGATTTGATTTGATTTATCTCCCACACACTCCCCCCCTGCCTAAAATACCTCCATTGGACTCCTTTGTTTACTTCCTTAGTGTAGTGACGTCACTATGGATAACTTGCGCTTCTATTGGCTAGCCCTCAAACACATTGTAAGTGACATCTCTAAGCGCCGGCCAGCTAACCAATCAGAGAAGATGGGCTCTGGCTTCACACAGAGGGTGAAAAGAGGTGCTGCAGCACAGGCGGTAGGAGAAAAATAAAGAGCTTTTTGTACATTAAAGCATGTAAACATGTCACTAGCACGTTAGCTAGTGTGCAGTTAGCATGTTGAAACATAAACCAAAGTGTTGAACGACAACCCAGCAAGCAAGAGTTGGCACTGATGGTATGTTTTATTCGTAAACTAAGATCTGAAACACTGTAACTCCTGAAAATAGCTTACGTTGCTTGGCAACACATGCAGTGATAAGAGATAATCCAACCGATATCAAAGCTGGTTTTGACAGAGCTATATATATATATACCTTTATTTATATGTGTGAGACAAACAATCAAAGGCAAATCACAGATCCAAGATTTTTCAAAGCCTATTTTCACTTTAGATAGCTGTAAATTATCTGCATATAGTATACATGCATTAGTATGAGTGTGTGTGATGTACCTGGCTCCAATGTAGAGCGTCCGATTGACCTGCAGGATCCTCTGGATGTGAAGAGGCTCTTGTCTGAGCCATGTCCGGTGGGGTCGGCCCAGAAACACTGCATGTCTTCTCACGACTGCGGAGGAAAAAAGGGACAGATACACATAATGGATGATTCCGAAACTGACATCGAAATAGAAAAGTAGTCAACATAAAAGTGGTTTGCTGTTAGGTTGTTTTGACAGCTCTGAGGCAGTTACAGGTATTCAAGGTGACAACTTTTGAGACCTGCATTTGAAACAGCAGTATTTCTGCTACATTAAGCTCACAAAGCCACAGAGCAGAGCACAAACCGAGGAACAACAAAACAAATAAGCCTCTGAAAATAAAATATGTCGGATCTATAAATCATATGTCACTCTAATATTTAAGTTTTGTTTGTTGTTGATTTGGAGACGCTTTTCATGAAATGTTGCTGCTTTTTGATGACACATTTAGCAAGACATATTCTGTCAAACATTTCAGATCATTCATAAAGAAAGACACCCAGAGAGACGTGACATTTTCAAGAGCATCAAAGAGGTAAAACAAAATGTTCAAAGTGTTTCGGAGGATAAGGACCTTGGTACATTAAGAGAGGGAAACCTTAGGGGAGACAGATCAGAGATAAAAGAAGTGGAGCATTTTCAGCAGGTTTCTATCATGTTGTCCCATAAGCAGAAATCACACGTATACATCAGATGCATTAGCAGTGTGGCTATCCTTGATTGACCTTCAGTGAGGTGAATATGTTCATCCTCTCATCTCATCACTCTTTCATCACTACCTCTTTCAATCCTATACTTTTCACTGGTTTCACCTCTGTGTTTTGTCTTCTTCAGGTCATTTCTACCCTGTAATTTCTTCCTCTTGTATCTATGTCGCTCTGCCCTGGACAACCACTGTGATTCATCCTCTTCTCTCTCTGTCCACCTCCACACTCTCCTCATGGCTGACCCTCCAGATAAGCCTGCATTTTCTTTGATGAATTATAAACAGACTTGTGGGGTAACAAATTATATTATGTAATCAGGTTGGAAAAAAACTGGTAATTATATTCCCTTACAGTTACATAAAAAATATGGGCAGGATTTCAATGTTAAAATGCATTTAACAATACAGATCGATATTTTATAGGTAGATGTACTGCCTGAATGTTATTTTGGTTTTCATTAAGGCTACTTTCATTCTTTTTTTTAAAAGATCTTTTTGAATGCAGGTGAACACCTGTTTTTTTTTTCAACAACAATACTGTTTGCATTCAATTCATGTGTTAAACTCAAAGAACATTTGTAAATTAGTATCCTGTAAAACTACCCTATAATTCAAGAGGAAACATTTCTGTTACTAAATATCTTGGTTTATTTTCTAAGGTCACATTGTTCTATACTTAATACACTTACAGTAAGTTAAGCCATCATATTGTTATATATTTTACTTGTGTTTATTGCAACTGCATTTGATATTGAGGTAACCCATAAATAACAGAAACTTAATTTTATTCTGTGTTACTTACATTAGGTTACTGATGACATATGTTCCAATTAACTAGTAATTGTACCACAATATATTTTTTAAAGTAACCCTCCCAACCCTGCTTGTACCTGATGTAAACAGCTGCTGAGTCTAAAGCAGCCTCTCCAGTGCAGCGCTCGGTGGCCTGTCAGCCTCTCTACGCTCCACTCTGTGGTATTGATACGTCGAGAAGGGTCTGGACTCAGCTGGGAAACCATCAATCAATAATATTGAACTGCAATCAATCAAGATCGGGTCTGAGCTGGAGACTGCCAAGCTGATACGGAGACTCAAAGTCTGAGTGTGTAAGCGTCTCTCAAGGGTCTGAGCGTGTGTGTGTGTGTGTGTGTGTGTGTGTGTGTGTGTGTGTGTGTGTGTGTGTGTGTGTAGACATGTAAACATGCATATGCACGTCTGCATGTGCGTGATTAAAATATTCTAAATCCTTTCCTTTATTTTCCTGATGTGGATTCGTGCCTGGACATCAGTNGTGTGTGTGTGTGTGTGTGTGTGTGTGTGTGTAGTCATGAACGTGAGAGCCCCGTCCTATACTCTCATTCCTGAGTGCGACCCCACACCTCCTGACCTGTACGCCAGTCAACACCCTTCGTGTCAGAGCCT